GAGCCCTCGGGCTCTGCCCCTGACGGCCCGGGGAGCGTGTGAGCATCCCGGCGCCTCTCGCCGCCTCGGGGTGACGAGGAGGGTCTGTTCGGAAGGGCAGAGTGACCAGGGTTAGTGCTTGTTTAGCTTCTTGCAAAGTGCGCCCTGTTTCAGTGTTTGAAATCAAACCGGGAAGTTCAGGTGAAGAACAAAATTTCAGGTGTATCTAGGATAGTTGGGGTTTTCCCCCCACTGAGCAGTAGAGCTTTTCTGATCCATTCTGCTTTACTGTTTTTAACGTTGTTTTGCAAGTATTTATACTTCTTCTTTTATAGTAAATTCAGTCAGCTTATCTTCATAAAAAATAATGCAGTTTTACTTTAAGGTAACTAAATTGTATGTTTTGGTCTAAGAGAAGGAAAAAGAACAAGTCCTGTTAGCAAAAGACTAGATATCTATGGTATAAACAGTGAGGTAAGTTCAGAGAAGCATAAATCACATCGGGCAGTGGTGAGGCTCTGTCTGCCTTTCTGTGTCTGGCTCAGCCATTCCTCTGACCTCCTCTGAGCCTTAGCTAGGCAACCACTCCAAATATCCACCCACCGCATAAGGCCTGGAGGCAGGGCTTGCTGGGTGACCCGAGGAAGCAGCCTGCTTACAGGGCTGCTCTGTCTGGGGTCTGAACTGGTATGCTAGCACAGGTCTGTGTGTGCAAGCCCCTGGCACAGCCAAGAGGGGTTAAACACTCTAGACACACTTAAGCTTGACTTGGAGACAAGAGTGGTGGGCTGAGCTCAGCAGGAGTCCTTCTGGATAAAACTCAGTTCTCTCAAAATTTTAGTACAATTTGTGCGTGTTCATTATTCTGTGATAAATGGAAAAAAACAACCAAACATTTGGCTCAGAATTTGCTACTCACCCTCTGTTAATTCCTTATGTTAATGCACAAAAGGAAAACAGGAACAACATTAGGAATGGAATTCAGAGCTGAGTTCAAATTTTGTTAAAGGAAGGGCTCATCCACCCCCAGGAAAGATTTTGAGTGTGGTTATATAATTAGTATGGAAGCTGCCTCTTCATTCATTGTTTTATTTCACTGCTGTGCATGCGCTGTTTGAAAAGGAAAATAAATCATCAGAAAACATTTAGCTTCAAAATACTAAAAATATTGTCGGTAACTTGCAGATGACTATTTAGGGAGGAAAAAGTAGTTACTGACAGAGATATATATTAACATTAAAAATATTGTTTATTGCTGATCAGTTGCTGCTTGTTTTAAGGTCTGTGGTTTTGTTCCTTTATTCCTCTCTCCAGGATTTGGAATGCTTTGACTGATAATTATGGTAACGTTATGCCAGTAGACTGGAAATCTTCCCACACCAGAGCTTTGCACTTGCCAACGCTGAATCTTTCAGAAAAAGGGGTAAGTTCTGATCAGCAGAAGTACCCTCTTTGCACCTTTTGTACTCAACAGGGAAATAAAACTATTTGCATGTGTTGTTAAATGGCTGAAAATATTCTTACTGTTGGGCATTATACATGAGAGGTTTTCAAAAATCAAAAAATCAAACAACCATTAATAGACGTTTGCATGTCCTTGGGTTGGAATAATTCAGGGTTAGTTTTAGGTGAATGTTCATTAGAGGCAGGGCATGCTAGAAAAAAACTTGTAAATGAGAAACTTTCACATAAAATCTTTCTGTTGTCTGATTCATGTTCAACACTGTTCTGGCCAAGGGTGGAAAACAGGCAGGAGTACACTGATTTAGTAAATCCAGTGTACACTTTTAAGTCCATCTCATTCTGCAGTCAGGTGGCTTCTTTAGCAGGAAAGGTGGCCCAGGAGACATTGAAGTGCAAGAGTTTGTTTAGGTTTTCTTATTTAACAGGTAGAATAGTTGTCTGGAGAGGGAGCAGAGAATTAAGAGCTTTAGAGAGGGTTGTCCTCTGATCTTCTTAAAAGTGGATTAAAATGCTTCAGGAAGAAGAGCTATGAGGAATTCCCATCTCACAGGTCTTCTGAGGAAACGAGTGGCTTATCTTTTAAACATAGTGAAGTTGAGTAGTGATGTAAAAATACCTGTGTGTGTAACCTGAGAATAGGGTGGTGCTTTGACTTCTGTCATCCAGCAGATAATCCAGTTGATTTTTATTGTGGCAGGAGCAGAGATTGTTCTACTGATGAGGAACTTCAGGGGTCAGCAGAGGAAAGGTGCCAATTTGGAACACACCTTCTGGAATTGTGTCTGATTGTTAACCCTTGATTTTGACTCGTGTTTATTCTAATTTTTATTAGAGTGCTTGTTCAGATCTTCTAAGTGGCTTTAGAGTAATTAAATCCTTACATTTTAAATAAAAATACAAACCCCCAAGCTGTGACCTTGTGTGACTGAAAAGATGGACTAGAAGACTGATGGATTTCTTGATAAGGAACTAAGCATAATATTAAAAAAATGTTTCATATAATTTTTGTAAGTTATTTGCAAGAAGTTATGAAGAAAGTACATGAAAAAGTGTAAAGTGATGTTGCTGGATTAGAAAGACTCTTAAGTATGCTACCAGTAGAGGGAAAACCAGTTTAGGGATTAAACATATCTCAAGTTTTTTCAGTGTTCACTCCACCTGGCATGCCTTCCAATGTGTAAAGCCTGTCTGCTTGGGAGCGTTTGACATACTTTTTTCTGCTTCTCTGTGTTCAGCAGTATTTCTGGATATGTGACAGCACATATGGGCCAGCTAGTAGCTTGTTTTAACATTCTTACAATGAATACTAACAGCTAAGCAACACTTCCTTGATGTGTTTGAAACTAATAATATGCTGCTGAATTTGTGCTTAAAGCATTTCTTTTTCTGTTTTAGTACAGGGAAAATGTTAGGTAAATCAGGCTGATTCTTCTAATCTTAGTCGCTTCACATCACAGGTCTCTGCACACTTTTGTACATTCTGACACTGAAAGAAGTAGTTGGGTTAAAGTGTTGTACATAGCGGTACAAGGAACAGGATTGTGCAATTGCTTGTTTTATTTTTATTAATTACTTTTAAATTGGGCATTCCCTGATAGTGTGAGCACAGAAAGAGGTATGGAGTGTGGCTGGGTGGAAAACCAGGCCTTCCTTTTAGCCCGGGTTACAGCTGATATTCTTAAATACACTTCAGTATCCTTCAGTTCAGGAAGGATGTTGAGGTGCTGGAGTGGGTCCAGAGAAGAGCAACGAGGCTGGTGAAGGGACTGGAGCCCAAGACCTGTGAGGAGAGGTTGAGGGGGCTGGGGTTGCTTATCCTGGAGAAGAGGAGGCTCAGGGGTGACCTTATGACCATCTACAACTCCCTGAAAGGAGGCTGTAGTCAGGTGGGGGTTGGTCTTCTCCCAGGAAACCAGCAGTAGGACAAGAGGGCACAGACTCAAGCTCTGCCAGGAGAGGTTTAGGTTAAATATTAGGAAGTGATTTTTACAGAGAGAGTGATCAGGCATTGGAATGGGCTGCCTGGGGAGGTGGTGGATTCACCACTCCTGGGGGTTTTGAAGACAAGACTGGATGTGGCACTTAGTGCCATGGTCTAGTAACCACAGTAGGGTTGGACTCGATGATCTTTGAGGTCTCTTCCAACCTGGTTGATTTTGTGATGCCATTTTAGGTGGTTTATGAGCCTCAAGTATCAGAATGTAGTCTCAAAATGCGTCTGGAGGGGAAGGTGATCTCCCTCTAGATAAACCATTATCCTTGCTTACTATCCCATTGTTGTTGTCATAATCCTATATAGATGGAAAAATATTTGAGGACTGCAGACATTAAAAAATGTCAGATTGGGGTGTGTCTGTGTAGTAGGTGAAGTGCTATTCTCAGTGGAGCCTTGTCACTGCATGGTTATTGTAATCAAGATTCTGGGAAAAAGTAGACATTTGACTTCATTCTGAGGCCTGAAGAAATGCAAATTTTATGTTTCCCCTATAGACAAGCTCTCTGGAGGTATCAGTTGCAGCTTCAAAATTAATCTAAAAGCTGTTTTCTGAAGAAACTGGGGAAATTGGACAAATTACAAGAAGAATTGCCAGTGGAGACAGTGAGACCAAGAACTTTGTACAGCCAGTCATGATGCTTGCTAATTAGCCCAAAGATCAGTTAAAGTAATTGAGCTGAAAATCTCAAAGGTTAGGGGTGGTAGCTTGGGGGACTTTTCTAGGTTGGTTTCTCTAGAATCTAGTAATAGACAAAGTGCAGAAAAAACAAAACAACTGTGTAAATAAACTAGGATATATCACTGTGTGAGAGTAAAATAATCTGACTGATTGAGGGGGAACCTAAGTCTTCTCTGTTACTATATGCATATCTTTGGTTTGGAAGGATGAGTATAATTTGGTGGAGTATGTGTGGGAACACTGTTACTTCTGTTTCCTCGTGAAAAGACCCTGAGATATTCAACAATATACTTTTAAAATAATCTGAGGTGATATCAGTATTCTGATGCCAGCTTTCAATATCTTCTCAATTTTTTTCCATGTCTTTTATTATGTGACAAAATAGAACTGTAAAAGCATGTAAGGTAACAGGTTTTCATAATGTTAGAGACCCTAGGCAGGTTTTTCACCCCACACTAACAAATGTCTACCTCGATTTAAGATTGAAATATCTACGTTGGATTGACTGCCTTCCATGTAGATATCTGCATGTCAGTATGTATGTGGTCTTTGTATGCTGAGGTTATTTGAAGACTTTAAAGACTGATAGCTATTTTAACTTCCTCCAGTTGCAGTTTTGATGTCATTTTCCAGGTTATTTGACAGCAAGAATTACTGATTGTATTATTATGGGCAAGGAATCTGTTTCATACTTAAAATGAAGTATTAGTTCCCCTTTTGCTTTTTATACGTCTACATGTATTTTATACACTTACTATTGGGTCTGTATATATATTTATATTAATACACCTTTTCTTACTTTTTAGGTAAATGATAACTTGAACCTTGACCTATCAGATGATGAAGAGTTGAGAGAACAGCTGGATATGCATTCTATCATTGTTTCCTGCATCAATGAAGAACCACTCTTCACAGCAGAGCAGGTAAAGTGTTCAGCAGAGACAGTGTTGGTGTAGTATTTTCTTCTAGTTTGCTATTGTTCTGTCCTGTTCTTGCTCTTCACTGTAGTAGCTAAGCTTCCTGACTGTTCTTTATTTAGGGTTGTAATAGTGTGTGAGATATTACTATGTCACTCAGATTTGAAAAGTATCCCAGTACTTCAGGTGAGGTTGATAGTCCAAGGTCTTCAGAATATTTGTGGTTTTCTTACCATGAATTTGTCAGAAATACTACTAAATTAAATATATGTGTTTAAAAAGCAAAAATATTTTCAGAACCTTAGTGGTATTATAGAGTTTGTAGTTTTCCAGCATGACTGTATGGCAATTCATGGCTTCATGTGGCTTTGTTGTTAGCGAGAATTCTTTGAAGGTTTTGCCTAACGTGAGAGCAGATCAATGTTTCTGCTACTAAGCTTTCAAATTAGTGTCCAAAGGCTTCAATTCCAAATCCATGGATTTACTTCAGCTGTCTTGAAAATTGTTCTTCTAAGTAAGGTTAATACTGTCTATTAAGATCCTGCTTTAGTAGGCAAATGCAATAATATATTGTCTTGTTATTTAAATGGTTGCCTGTGAACTCTGAAGGACATGGTTAAGAGCATGAGAGACAGGACTGCTTGAATTGCCTCAGCTCTTTTTTACTGTGAAGTGGATCTCAGCACTGAGTACAGCCTTGAAACCTGTAAAAGTTGGTGTGCTATTATTCAGATGTCTAGTTGACAATGTAGCCTGTTGAAATATGGTCGTTTATATAATGAAAAGTAAGGTGTCTATGCATGGAATTTCTGTTCTCATAGTTTCTGTCTGGCTCAGGTCTTATGCCCAGGGATACAAATCTGCTTCAGGTTCTGGTGGATCAGTTCATAAAACTTCTCATAAGCACAGTAGATTTTCAGGTTATTCAGTGGAGTTTTTGGGGTTTGGTGTTGGGTTGGAGGTTTTGGGCTTTTTTGTTGGTTTGGTTTTGGTTGTTTTTTTAACATAGTGAAGTGTAGCGAAATAGGGAGTGGGGAGGTAATTGACCTTTGTTGTTGTGTTTTCCTTCAACTGAACACTCAGGGAAGATACTGCAGCTCATTCTTTAGTTCAGTTTTCTTGTCCTTGTTATGAGATCACCCATTTACTGTGACCAGGATATGGTAATTCTGAGAGAACAGTGATGGGGAGGAAATGTCAATATGATTTTGTTGATTCTCTTCCATCCAGTCTTGGTGTTAGTTTCATCTAGCAGCACGTTTACCAATTGAAAGTAAAAAAACCCTCAAGCTCTTAAGAACTTTTCTTCAAACTGCAGGCTGTTTCTCTTCATGCAGGAGGTTTTTCATAAGGGTTTTCATTTTTTGAAGGTAATTGAAGAAATAGAGGAAATGATGCAGGAATCTCCTGATCCAGAAGATGATGAAACACCCACCCCATCAGATCGACTCTCCATACTTTCCCAGGAAATTCAGACACTCAAGAGATCCAGTACAAACAACAGCTATGAAGAGAGTAAGTAATATTTATTTAGTATTTTGCTCTTATGCTTATTGAAAGTAGCTTAAAGGGTAAGTTTGCCATGTGTTTGATTCATAGTGAGTCCTTCTTATGAAATACCTGCATTCAAAAATGTTTCAAAATGTCCTGAAAAAAATTTAGAGCATGAATAGGGGACTTACTTTGTCAACTTTCATAATTAAGAGCACAAAAAAAAAACTTTATAAAATTTCAATTTAAAGCAAATACTCTGAAAGTTGATACAATGGAATGAAAATCCTTCATGGGTAAAGTGATAATTTGGTCATTTTGTGTTAAACTTTATTAATGTCTGTACTTTAAAGTGAGACACTTTCTTGATGCCAGTACACTGAGATTAGCTGAAACTCTTGAAAGTTATACAGTAAATAAAGAAAATGGTGTTTCTTTGGTACTGTTTCAGTCACTGCAGCACATCTTGATAGAGAGTAACACAAAAATAAGGCAACCGTTGCTTTTTTCCCCATAAGTATTGTATTTTTCAGTCTTTCCCTTCCATTCATTTTCAAAATGCTTTGAAGTTTAAAAAACCCTTTGTATCTTCTACTCAAATGAAATCATCTGTCTTATACAAAAGAAAAGGAGAAATGTATAGTTTAATTGTAGTAGGTTGTTGTACGGAAAAGAAACCTGTGACTAATGAGTTTCGTGATGGAAAATTTTGTTTCATATGTGCATGTGTCAAAATCAATTTTAGGTGATAGAAGCACAAATAATACTTGTTAAAAAATCATTGTACTTTGGTCCCTCTTATAAAATTTGGTGCTTTCTTTACTGTAGTCCGGGTCAGCAGTATAAACTGATTCAGAGAGAAGATTCAGGAAACTGGCTGACCTCTTGTGGCATGACTTACAGTTTCTGCTGCATTTCAGATTTATGGAGGAGATACCATTTTCATGGTTGGACTCTTAACTGTCTCAACACATAAATTTCA